GGGCACAGTGATAGAGCAATGAATATGTCTTGATAGATGTGAGTTAAGCACATCATTTTGAACTTTTTTTGAAGTCTGCCTTGCCTTTAGACCAGCGATATACAAGCTAAGCAGTCAGATGCAGTGATAATCCCTTACTTATATGCTCTGGAAATGGGTGTCCCTTGGCTGTGTTGGCCCATTTCACCACCTGAAGCAAAGCAAAGCTCTTCATGTTTTCAGTGCCACTTCTCCCACTCCTGCAGCCATAATGATTCTGTGCAAGCAAACTTATACCCTCCTCACCTCTCAGAAAAAACACAAAGGTGGCTCAATGAACACCCATAAGAGAAACAGCGCCACCAGAGGAAGAGATGTAATATTCTGTGCTGAGTTGTGGAATATGAGTAAGGCCTCACCAAGGCACAAAACCCAGACTAGACAGCCAGCAGCACATGGGGCACACAGATCTGATACAGAGGAAAGTAATAATAATAATAATAATAAAACACAGCCTAAGCTCTTGGCTAAAGTTCTCTGCCAGGCAGAAAGCACAATAAAGACTGCTGGTCTCATGTACACCATTGACAGATAAGGAACTGGCAGATTAAGGAATAAGATTTTGAGTGAAGATGCAGTGAAACAGAGAAGTTTACTGCTTCACATGGCTGAGAGCCAAGCCTAATTTTTTTTTTTTTTTTTTTTTCACCAGAAAAACATGCCTTTTATGACATTTATACTCAGGGAGATCAGGAGATGCTGCCCCTCAGAAGCAAGACATTGCCTGTGAGCTTATCAGCAGCACTTTGCATCCTGAAATCCTCAGGCACAGGAAGGAACAAGACACTGCCTTGCTGGGGACACTGTGGCTCTCAGCTCTAGGCGTGGTGCCAGTCTGTCTATAACCTGCCTGTCTGGAGAAGTCTGCAGAGCCTTCCCACGACACTTGGTGTGTGTCAGAGACAGCCACCTACACTGACTTTAAGGTGATGGAATAAACGATAGTTTTAAGATGGCTGGTTGGAAGTCATGGTCTGCTGGAGACTTATGACAACTGAATAAACCCCAGGCAGGACAAAGGGGGATCTATCTGACTGGATGACCCACCTTATGCCTAGATCAGAGATCACCAGTATAAACAAAAGTTGTGGCAGGTCAGGTTAGGAGAAGCTCTCTCAAAGACCCACTGGTAGACCTGAACACTAATGGTATAAAAGAGGTCTGCACCTTGCAGAGTGCCTGAGACAGAGGAGCTGCATGTGGAGACTCTGGTACAAATCGGTAGGAGAGCCCTCCCCAAGCCATGGGATGTCTCTGTGGAAATGGGTCTTGTAGTTACTCAGTTTCAGCAGCCCTGTGGCAGTGCCTGTGTCTCAGGATGCTGGTTCCTCAACGAGGGCATAGGGAAGTTGTCAGCAACTCCAGATGTGCTTGGGGTTAGAATGGAGCCAGCCAAGGTGGAAATAAGACATCTCATGACAGCTACTTGCTCTGGTTCTTTAGAAGACCTTCCACATCCCTCCTCTTCACACCCTAGGATATGGACCAGCTGTGTTGAGCAGCCTGGACTCTCTCTGCCTTTCTGCATGGCACCTCATTTTATTTCCTCTCACTAGGGTCTTTCAAAAGAAGAACTAATTCCCCAAGTTTCTCTGCCTTCTCACCTTAGCCATGAGATGAGAGACCAAAGAAAGGGCACCCTTCTGAAACGTCACACAGCAGCTCTTGTGGAGCTTACTACCAGAGCTGGTGCATATGCCGTAAGAGCCAATGCCTGAGGAAATTGGAGGGTGCTAAGGTGTTTGTGTTTTTTGGCCCATCAGCCCACAGCCAAAGATGCAAGTTTGATCAGAGACAGATTTTGTTGCAAACTCACCATGTAACTGCTGTTGTCTTGAGGAACTTTGGAAAAGAGAGAACACACAAGCCCTTTTATATACAGAGCTGGCTTCTCAGCTTTCAGATGCTGTACTGCTTTCAGATGCTTTTATTTGGAGCAATGGTGCAATCCAGTGGCCAGTTAGGATAGTAACACAACAATACTGTACAAACTAAGCTACTGCAAAAACAGGATGCACCTAAAGGGAGCTGCAATACTATTGAGTATTGCATAATACTATTGAAATGTCGTCTGTTAATGAGTGATCTTAAGAGATGCACAGAGCATCCACATTTCAGGAGAAGAGAGGCTCAGAACTGAGCTGTTGGAACCAATAACTGGGGCAGCAGTTTTTCATGGGCAGTATGTCCTATCCTTACAAAGCCAGTTGTACAGCCCTCACTAATATTCTCTTGAGTGTTGTTTCCCTGGGATGCTAAGGGCAGGTGCTGTGCCTGCTGGCACCAAGCCCAGCACCACACCACTCTGGAGAAAAAGCACATCTGAAAGAGGGCCTGCACAACAGACCAGGGAACAGACAGCTGCCACAACAACCCTCTGGCCAAGAGTCCCAGTACCTAGAAAGCATTAGTACTGCCACTGTCAATAATAAATTAACATTTAAAGTGCAGTAATTGTATTTTTTTTTTTTTTTTGAGGGCCAGCAACTGGAGGTAGGAATTGAGATGTATTTGATCTGTTGCTATAGTCTACATATTTTGGCCTGGAAAACATATTCTTAGTGGAAAGAGCTGAAGCTGCATGACCCTTTAACCCTGAAAGAAAATGGTACAGGTGAGAGCCCATGTAGACTCTATATCACTGGTCAACCAAGTAATCACGGAGCTGAGGCTGTAGAAATACAGCATAAATAAAAAGACTTGGTCCAAAGACTGACTGCTACCTAGCTGGTTGCAAGGAAGGATCTCCCCTCCAAGAACTGCTTTTAGACTCCTGCACTGCGAAACTGTCAACTTGTGGCTGCGCCTGGAGCAAGCCTTGCATGGCATAGCCCTCCTAAAAGGCCTCTGCTGGAAGAGGAAGCATTTATGCTGAGCAGACTCCTTACTCCATGTAGTTTTACCTGTGCTTTAGTCTGGAGAGGAGAGGAAGGGGTGCTGCTGAAGGAAGCTGTTCACTAGTTTTGACCATGCATCTTTTCTCAGCTCACTTGAGAACAGTCTTCTGCAGAGCAGGCTACAACAAGAGGGTCTCCTAGGAGACACTCGCCTCTGGGCACATCCATTTACCATCTTCACCTCCTTTATCAAGGCCATGCAAAAAAGAACCCAAGGTGCAGATTCTGAACTCCAACAAGATTATAGTATCGTTCTTTGTAGCTTGCAGAGCCAATAAGACCAGTCAGAAAGGCAATAGCAGCTTGGTTAATGAGGGGAAAAGGAAGTTACAGTGGAAGGAGCAAAGAGCATGGCTATATTGAGTCAGCCCCATCTTCAGTTATCTCTTCCTTAAACATGTGGCCAGGCCACTGTCACACCACTCAGTGAACACCTCATTACATGAGGATAGCGGTCAGCTTCTGTCACAAAGCATCCCAGTAAGCTAGCTGGTGGTGTTACTGTACAGCAGAAGAAATAAAAGGAGTGCAGTCATTTGTATTAGAAAAGATAATCCCAGCACATGCTGAAAACAAGCAGGACTTCAGTTTGATTTGGAGTATCCTCTGGGGAAAAATAGGCAGAAAATAACACAGCAACACACACAAGTCCCTGAACTATACACAAGAGCAAAATATACAACAGTTTCAAGAGTAAAATAGTTTTTTTCCCCACAAAAAACATTGTACCCTCACATGTATGAGACTGTTTAGCTATGACTTAATGCTATATTTGAATACTCTTACCACTCAAACCAAGACTGATATATCCACTGTGAGCATTTACAATGAAGTGTTTAAACTGTAGCATGCTAGCCAAGAACATTCCCCCCCACACACACCCAAGGAATAGCTTTTGGAAGATACAAAACGTAGAATATCAAATTAGCTCTTCAGTCTGAACAAATCATTAAGTAATTTCTGCTGACAGAAAGTTAGATTCACTTCAGTCTGCACAGTAACCACATGCATGGTCTTTCCAGACTGCATGCGCCAACTGGATATATCACCATACAGTTTCTTTCCTTGCTCAGTGTGCCATCATTTTTACTCCATTTCTTCATCATTTTCTAATTCCAGACTAATGGGCCAGATACTGAGCTGCACTGGGATGCTTGCAGTCTTCAAGCCTTCTTGATACTCCGCAGATAAGCTTAGTGGAAGAGTCTGAGAGGATCCATACACTCCGGATACATCCATAGTACCTTTTGGGGCCTGAACTGTGCAAGACCAATTTCAAAGTATTAGAGCTGCTTGTCACTAAACAACTACTTGCTTATAGGAAGCAGAAAAAGAATAGCCAGGGCAACTAGCGTTGCCTTGGTTATATTTAGATGCATCTGGATCCAACAGAGTAAAACTTCAAATGCCACTTTGGATTCTGGCATCCCAATGTGATTTTGTGCATGAACAGAGTCCTTGGTGTTTGGGTTCAGGGAGGGGAGTAGTGGACCTGGAAGATAACCAACATGCCAAGCCTATTCTCCCAGCCAACATCCTGAGACTCCGAGTGCAACTGACAGCCACCTCACCTTGCAGTGCATCTGCAAACCTGGGCTTTTCTTCAGGAAGCTTTTTATCTAGTACTAGTACTGCCTGGTTTGCTGGAGGTGCAGCATACCCAACCGCCACCACTCTTCAGTGCAGGAGTAGATGACAAAAGCAGTTAAAAATAATTTTAAAAGACAGTTTTACCAAAGATTGGGAACACTTGTATGACAAATCAGGATTTAAATTGAAGCTAGTGAAACTGAAAATGTTTTCCACACTTACCCTGACAAATTACTCCTGCCACAAGCCATACAAAATTCTCCTCTCAGTTCTGTAACAGTTTTTCTTTTGGAATAATTTCTGTTCACCCTTCTCCCCCAGAGAGACTTGATCAAGTTTTAATAATAGGGAAGTTACAAAGCTGTTGGCACAGATGTGGGGTGAGATCTTTAGCTGCATTTTAAGTCAGTTAGGTTTTACCATTAAATGGTTCACATCTTTTTCCTGCTCCTATACCCCAATGCCATTCTGCTTCCATTTTTGGGGGTGCAATATTTCCACTTCTACTTTTACTACTCTACCTTAACATGTAAGGGTACTGTGGACACCTCAGGAGGTGACCAACTTCTTCAGCTTCCTGTAGTATATTACTATCCCAGGTGACTGCATCCTTGTGAGATTTATGAATGAAGTGTCTTAATAATTCACAGCAAATGGAGTCTTTTATGATACACAGCCATTGTTCTGGAGAACATGAGTACCATATTTGTGTTTTAACATATGCCTGAGGTTATGAACCAAGCACTTACAAACTAGCAAGTTTCACATCTGTATCTGGCAAAAAATTGTTAGAGTGATCATAACGAATAGAATATTATGATCTCAATTTTCCACAAAACTGCTGGAAGTGGGTAGATAAAAGGAAGGCTTGATTTCTGAAGAGGAATATTTATTTTTTGGACTGGAAGAGATGGATTAAATATGAAGCAGAGAGATTTGCTCCTGGGAGTTCCTGAGTATATTCAGAACAGGAAAAAAGGTATTTCAGAGGTATCTAAACTATTTAGAGGAATGGGCAATAAGAAGCTTGATTCCAATAACAAAGTAACATGCATTGAAAGAATTAAAAACAAGGCATGAAGATAGATAGGTGACGGATTATAAATAGGAATTACTTAGCATATATAGACCTAAGTCAGTGGTGCAGCTACATTAAGAGAATATGATGGTAACAATTACAGAAAAAAATAGGGATGCCCTGTTGATTTACACTCATTCTCTAAGAGACTGCTTCCTCTTCTCTCATTGTACATGCTTCATCATACAACCTTTAAGCAAATCACAATCCACTTGACAATTTAAAGTATAGCAAGAACAACTATCCCCGTGTTCTGAACAGGTAACTGATACACAGAACAATTAAGTGAATTAAGCTATGCAAAAATCCTGCTGAGGACATGGAATTAAACCATCCTAGTCTCCCAGTTCCAGTCCAGCAATTTGACCTCAAGACTGAAGTGAAGATGTTAACAGTGCCCTAAGAATTCCCTGCAAATCATGATTTCAAACCCAAAGTTCAGAGATCTAGGCTTTATAAATGGAGTACATTTTGAGATCTAGCTAAGCCTTCCCAAGACTAACTCTTTACTTTTGCAAAGAAAAAAAAATTACTTCATACCAAAATTAAACAAATATGGAAGAGCTAGCAGTCTTAAGGTGAAAACACTCATGCAGACCCTCTGTAACAGATGTATAAACTCAGCCTCAGACACTCCATCTTACAAATGAGACAGCTAACAAACAAAGTCCTGGCAGTTTCATTCCCCAGCAGTCCTGAGACTGTTCATGTGCCCAGTTTTCCCTTCTCTCTCCTCTGGCTCTGGCAGAGCTTGCTGGCAGCTTGTCTCTAAGGTCAGCAATCCTGCTACAGGCAGGTGAGCAGCCAGCTTGCTAATCCAGTTATGCAATACAAGACCTGAGGGGTGCACCTTTTGTGAAAGAATAGGCTATTATATAATTACTTTATTATTATATTAATATAAATATTAATTATTATATAATATATAATAGGCATTATATAACTACTAGTGAAGTTACCTGCCTGAAGAATATTAAAAAAATGCCAATGTAATTATGACACTGAGATAGTAGGCCAAGACTAAATTCTTTCTGCAGATCTCCCTGAAGTAAGGCTTTCAAGTGTGATGGAAAGGAATAAGCAGCAGGTTTAAGCCAGGTAGGGATTTTTGGAAAAAAAGTGTTGCATCAGCCTAACTCTGAGTCTGCTAAAACCAGTTGAGTTTAGCTGTTTCTTTGATGAAGCCAGCGCAGAGCACCTGGGGGAGTTTGCTGTCATCTGGGACAACCCAAAATGACATGTGAACCACTGTTTGGCACTTCTCTCAATATCTCAGGGAGCTCAGCCACTTGATCTAACCTCAGTCCCTCAGAGATCCCTAGCAGCCAACTCGAGATGCGGGCCTGCTCTTCCAGTCCCAAACATCATCTTCTCCATTTGCAGAGGAATTGGGATCTATGAACCGAAGCACAACAACCCACCCCTCTCTCTGCAGGGCACAGGGGAATGGAGGAAGGCTGCCATGCTGGTGGGCCATGAGCCAGATCCAGCTCCCAGGCATTTCCACCAGATGTTGCTTTTTCCTCAGAGAAGACACAAATTGCTGCTTGCAAGGCAAGTACAACCGTAGCAGCCAAACACCATGTCTTGTGCTTACAAATATCTAAGCGCAGCAATCTGCTGCTGTAGCTACCATGACAAGTAGAAAGAAAGCAACATGAGAATGCTCTTCCAGGCAAAATGTGTTCCCGTTTTAGAAATTGTGGATTCCCCCCCCCACATCCCACCCCTTCTATCCTTTTGTGGAAAGGTGCAAGTAAGACTCCAATTGTAAACCAAGTGGTTTATTCTCCTGGAGAGCTTGGTGGCAAGGATTTATGTATTATTAAAATTACTGCATATGTTGTCTGCAGCACTGCTGGCTCAAGCAGTACCTGTTTTACTTTTTTCCCCCCTCAAACTTTTGCTGCTTTGAGAAAAAAATCTCAAATGAAAGTCTTATCTCTGTATATTCAAGGTGGAGAACACAGAGTGAATGAATGCCTAAACGCCAGGCAAAGAAAACATACAAAACCCAACCTACAACAACAAAAAAGAGGGACAAGTTTGAGTTTGCAATATCACCTCATTCCAAAAAGGGCCAGGCTCTGTACCTTTTCCAAGTGGCAGTGCAAAGAGAAATTTCCAGGGCAGCATGCCTGTGAATTGACACTTTTCAGTCTCTTGCCTTGGCATCATGTGAAGCAGGAAATTTTTCACTTCCACAAAGTTTGTTTAGGAAACCAACCCACAAGCAAAGCCTCTTGTTCCTCACCAGTGCAGAGTGCTGACCTGTGCTTGTGGCAGCTGGGAATTGCAGCCCAACAAAGCACCTTTCTGCAGACATCTGCACTCTTTACCTAACACACAACTGACACTGCTGAAGAAGCGTTTGTGTTTTGGAGTGGGCGAGTGGACCAGAGCTGGGAGAAGTTCCAGCATCCAGGACTGGACAGAGTATTCATGTGCAGGAGACATCCTCCCTCTTGCTGGCTGGAAAGCAGCACATTTAATGGGCAGGCTAAGTTAGAGGAAACAAGGATTTCTAACTGCTTTTAGATGCTGCTGGAAGTGCTGCAATAGGACACATACAAGCCTGCCAGTTAGAGGATTAAGGAGAATTTTTGGTGTTGGTTCATGCTGCAAGACATCAGGAAGGTCATTAATACAATTGCTGCCAGAAATTAACTTAAAGGACTTTCTGACATCTCTATTTCAGACATGCTCTTGCAGGATGCTATCCTAATAGAAGGTGCAATCTACACATCTCTAACTAGAGCTTCAGAGACAGAAGATGTGTAGACGTATTTGCATGCCTATACATTACTAGGGGCAAGTCTAGAAGATGGGGGAGGCTCCAAGCTCTTCTATCACTGAAGCTTACCAGGTCAGATGGTATCAACAAGCACATTTGTTTTAGTCAAAAGTGCTCATCAAAAACAGCTTGCCAGGAGCTAATTGAATAAAGGAAAGTCATTTTGCCCATTTCTAATAAAAAAAGGCCTCCATTTGGGCAGTATTATTTGCAGTCAATTATTCTGCTATTTCCAGTTGTGCTCCAGGGAGCTATATTACTTCTCCATAGCGCTTAGCAGCTGTTCATTAGGTTAGCCTCCCAGTTGTTTCTGCTTGCACAATGTTCACCCTGCAGTGCCAGATGAAAGGAATTTTAAGTGCTATCTGTTGCTTTGTATGGCCCTCACAGGATTTTGGAAGCCATCCCAACCAGAGAAAGAGCAGGGAGTTCTTGATTTTTGGATGAGAAGGTAAGATGCCATGGTTTATTTTAACAAAGGAAGGGTAGAGAGGAATAACTGGTATACTGAGAGTGCCACTTCAGGACAAAGTCTGACTGTGACTGGCACACAAGGACACTATCAAACAGCAGCATTTGAAACCTGGAAGCTATCGCTTCATAGATATATTTTGGTATGACCCTGCACCACTCTCTGACATTTATTTTTCCTTCATAATGACTCCATGACTTGGCTCCAAGAATACAGCATCCCTGATTTGAGTGCAGCTGGTTTACTAGTAGAAGCACCGCAAGTCAGTACAGTCTCACATCTGAGCATCTAAACTCATAGAACACTGGCACACTGGGCTTTGACTGCCTTCATATGCTGGGCTCAGCACCACTCACACAATTTGCCATGTCTGACTCCATACCTGTCTATACCTTGCACATGCACAAACCGAGCAGATTCACACACGTGAACTTGCAAATACAAAACACACCAGTAAAAACGCTCAAAGCACTAAGATAGAACACATCTGCACCCTGTCCGGCCACCAGTAACGCCACTTCTTGGGAAATGAGTTGATCATAATTTTCATCTCTGAGATCAACAGAGATAGTGGCTTTCACAGGAATTATCTGGACCACCATACCCATTTTTTTTCAGTTTACAGTCATATCTGCCTGCATGCTTTAATATGAACTTCAAAGAGAGGCAAAAAGCCACCCTATCACCATTACAGTAAGGAACTTCACTCCAACTTCAGATTTTCAGGCTCTTCACAGCAAGCCTGCTGAGTCTAATGCTTCGTTTAATCAAACAAATAGTCCTGAAAATGCAGCTTGAACCCTTAGAGTTAGAAGGGGTTTGCTCCCTCTTTAGTCATTACCCCAGAAGAAGCTTTTACAAAGCAGACAAAAAAGACTTCTTTAAGCACCTCATATGCTAGCAGAGATGCAAATTTAGTTCAGCTAGCTCTAAACCACAGCAGAACTCAGCCTGGTCCATTACAGCACCATCTGGTTAATTTACTTTAATGCAAGCCAATTAGGATCCTCTTCATCCTAAAGAAGATAATCTTTTACTTTCAGCTCAACAGAGCTTATAGAACATCTCACCACCTAAGAACAATTAACAGGTCTCCATTCAACTTCCTTAAATACTCGTTCAACCCTATCACTGCTGATAATCACAGGTATGGGGGTTGGGCTGGGCTTTAACTTTGTTTTTCTGCTGTTCTTTCCATCACAACCCCAGTGTGGTCCTGCTGTTAAAGAAAGAAGATCCTTCTGCTGATAGTTTTGACTCAGAAGAGTCCACATTAAGTATAAGAATTAGAAATGTAAAAGCTAGATTCAAGTGCTGGATTGTGATGATACAATACTCTGTGATAGCTGAATTAGTCTTGAATCCTATCCCTAAGTAACCTTTTAAAACAGCTTGTGGAGGATTTTCATTCAGTAGCTCCATGTATGCAAGGTGGGAGAGGTTACTTCATTCTCAGCATACTGGGGGATTCAACATCTCCAACCAAGGAGGACGACACTAACTGTGCAGAAGTTCAGGTGGGAAGGGTCCTAGCAGTCCCTTTCTCCTCTGAGTTTAAACTATGCTTAATTATTCCCTAGTGATCAAATAAACTTATGACTCTCATTTCATTTAATGTTCCCTAAAAGAAGAAGGTGTGCACAGATCTTGATATGCTGCTTTATAACTTTTCTTGTATGGACTTGAATCTGTTTTGTCCTCCCCTGCATCATGTCCTTAGAACAAAGCAGTAGTTACTCTCTTTCTCGAACCTACACAGTAATTCAGGAAACAGAACCGTGCCTGAAGGAATGAGGGCATGGGCTGAGGACAGTAACTAATCAAGAGGGAAAAAATAAAAAGAGAGAGAGAGAGAACAGAATGGGAGCTCTCCATTTTTGGGAGTCACTGATCCTTTATATATTGGATCCAAGTACAGCTCAACCTCCTCTCTCTCTCCTGTTGTTTATACAAGGCCAACTGTGGCCTCAAACATGACTTGAGACTGCAGGCCCCCTCTGCTCCCTATCTGAAGAGAGTGTGGGCAAACTCCTATTGGCAGCACCAACTCCAGTTGGTATGATCCTGGGAAGCCTCAGCTGTGAGGTTGCTGCCAGGTTGCTCAGCCCCACCAGGACTGAAGTGCTCTTGGGCATGCCACGGGGCAGAACTGTGGGATGAGAGGCTTCACCACAGTCAGAAAGCAGCCAAATGGGTGGTCTAATCATCTGTGGTTTTAAGTTGTACATCCAGAGGGCTAGAGGGCCTGACTCCTAAACTATTCTGTTCACTGAGCATCAAAGTTTCCTTCAGTCACTGGAGTTGCTCTTGCAACCTGCTTGGGTCTGAATGCTCACATTCCCCACGAGGATGTGTTCCTTGGTTGTTAGATTTGGGACTACTGGGACATGAAAGAAATTGCTTATCTCTGTGTAAAAGAAAAGAAGTCTGATGTAAGTGCCTAAAGTAGGGGAAGCTGCACAGCTGAACATGCCAAACACAAATTAGACACTGAACCCCCTACCGTATTTCTGGGGTTCCTTCGTCAGCTGGCTTCTGAGGTTCTCAAATCCCTGTGTTATGGGGAGCCTGGATATCCCTCTGGAGGCTGAAAACTCCAGCACAGAAGCAGGAAGGTAGCAAGAGATTGAGCTGTTTTCAGGAAGATTGAGTAGCAAAGCCAAAGGAAATTAAGTATCAGAAGTAGGGCCTCGAGCCTAGGCCCCACTAGAGGCCTAGTAATCAAAATCTGGGGACAGGTTTGGTGAATTTTGGGGTCAGCAGCACAAATGCAGAGCAAAGCTGGAGAGTCCTTGAATGTCTGAGCTAAGAACCAGGCCCTGACACACCAAATGGATGTCCATCTTTGCTGAGCAGCTCTGTTGGGGTCTACTGCCTCTCAGCACCAGAAGAGATGCCTGGAACAGAGAGACCTCAAGCAACACTGCATAGACTGCAAAGCCATCTGGTCAAAATCTGTCAGGCATCAGGATTTCTGGTTAACATTGGTATCATATGTACCAATCTGCTGTAAAACCACTGACACATCTCTCATACCCTATTACTGCTAGCGACGAACAGTGGAAAGTACTCAGGATTAGGAGAGCTGCAAGGCTCACAATCCCTGAGTATCAATACATAATTTACAGTATAGGCATTATGGTGTTCCTTTAAGAATATAAATATATAATGAGGATTTCCACTGAGAGGCCATATTTTTATTTATTTAGGAAACAATTAAGTTGAATTCTGCTGAAACCTCTCCATACAATGGATGCTCCATGAGTCAGTAGTACGCAGATTTCTTGAAAGTGCCATATTCAGAGCAAATTAACATGGTCTTAAAAACCAGTTTCATGACAACTCTCTTACAGACACAAGGCATTGGCTGTGAAACAGCATCAAGCATTGCATGACATCAGGTAGCGCATTTCTGTTTATTTGCCTTTCTTTGAGAACTCTAACTCACTGTTGGGCAAAGGAGTGCACACAAGATGTACAAGAAAAGGTTAAAAGAGACTTCTTTATCACCATATTCTGTGGCATGAAGGGCCACAGACTTTTTTTCTTTTTAAAAGGATATGGTTTTGTGCTCTGGCTGATGTCTTACAGTTCAGAGTACAACTTGCCCTTCTACAGGAATCTCTTGAGAAAATTAATAGTGAACACAGTAATTTACTAGGCTGTATTACTGAATAAACGCTGCCAGTTGCACTAACAGCATTTTAGCAGACACTTTTCAGTTTGTGAATCCCTAAATTTAGAAAGACAGTAAGAAATCAGACTGCAGTGGTGGGGACATGGAGAAGTGGTTGAGGTTTCTTCTCCCCTGCAATAGATTCCCGCTTGTAAACTGTTGTGTTTATATACTTCAATACAGCTGTGATAACCTACAACACAGGTTCTGCCCTAGACATGTATAGTTTGTCCACAGTCTGGCTCAACGCGTTAGTAGTTTTCATATATAATATTAAAACCCAAGGTCTGTATCCCGATGTTCTTCACATGATGCTCTGTCTGTTCACGTCCACATTGTATGCTGATGAACTGGAACAGCCTCGGCCGAAATCAATAAAAATGCCTTCAGAATCAGAGTCAATTGACTCTAAAATTTGATCCACTATGTTCTCAGGGCTAGAAGAAGGAACTGGAATCAAGGATGGGTCCCTGTCCAACTCAAAAGACCTGTGTGGGTCATCCATTGAGTGGAAGAGTCCTTTCTGTTGCTCAGCTGTGCCAAGCTTGCCAGAGCATTCCACTGACCCAGCACTTGACCTTTCCTGATCTCCTGACAGTGAGTTTTTCGTGGCTGTCATGGAGTTCTTGGAACCATTGTCCATTACGGTGGTGAGGTTGGAGTACCCCTGGAGCTCCAGGCAGGAGGTCATTTCTGAAACAGAGTGCCTTCGGATGCCTGTTCCATTGGCAGCCATGCCCTCAGTTTCATACTCAGCTACTGGTGTCAACAGTGGATTATTGTAACTTTTTGACCGCACCACGGGGTTCTTGGTGAGGATGTCACCTGACTTGGAGCGCCTGAAGAACCGCTTCTCTGTAAACAGAGAAAGATACAGAGTAATATCAATAAAGCCTCCTATGTATAATTACAAGCGTTCAAAAGAAAAGTCAAGGCCCAAATATTCATAAACTTTTATTCTATGAAAGGACATTTTTGAAAGAATACATTTTGATGGTGTTATAGATACTTATGTTTCAGATTTCCTAGACTTCCTTATCATATTGAATACCCCAAAGCTATTAAAAAAAAAAAAAAGAGCTGAAAATTCCCTTATATTCACAGAATCCCCTGCCAAAGCAGGTTCCCCAGAGCAGGTTGCCCAGGTGGACATCCAGACAGGTCTTGAATATCTCCAGAGAAGGAGACTCGACAACTTCCCTGGAAAATTCATACAATTTCAACTGCTGGAGTAAAAACAGTAAATATCATAGAAGACTTGATGTACATTTACAAATGCTTTCTTAAAGCAATTACAGAAAGTCAAATTTTGTTCTGTCTATAAAGGTCATAACTAATTTCTAGTAGAAATCTGACTTTGGCCTTAGGATTGGTGGCACTGATTTTTATTTAACTTTACTTCCACTTGTGCTTTCAAAACCTAATTTCTTCACATGAAACCAAAAGTGCACTGCAGAGACAGTGCCACCAATCTGCCTAAGAAAGCAGAGAACCTGCCACCTACCCTGGGAAAATCAGGTCTCCAAATTTGGGGTGCACATGTTACAACATACAGCTGTACTAAATCATTACAGAAAAAATTTGATTCAAAGCATTGTTCGGAGACCACGCAAGGAGAGAGCACCAAGAAAATTTGGAAAGGGTAACTGGAGGGCAGTGCCCAGAGCAACCTTGCTGGCAAACAAACCCGCACTCAGTCCAGCAGCAATTTTATTAATGCAGTTGTTAACCAAGTGGGTTCTTTCCGAAGAATGAGCAGTAGGTGGCAGCAAATCAGCACGGAGAACCTGCACCAGTGGTTTAGGTCTGGAGCGCTCTCCTGCAGCTAGATCAAAATGATCATCATGCAAATACTTTGCTGATTTTGTTACTCTGCCTCACTTATGCTAAAAATATCAGTGGTGTGACTACTGTATCTCATTTCTGAAACTCTCTCCCTTCCACTCTCACTTTCCCATCCCCATGCAAGGGACAGGGCCAAGAAAAGGAACTGAATTATAACCTGGCAGTCAACCATAGCCACTGCAAATAAAAAAAAACACAACTCTGAGTTAGGATGAAAGCCCACGTTTCCCTATAAACCATTTACAGATGCCTTTCTCTTCTCAAATTATTCTTAGTTGCTTATCTGGACACAAATTCTAATCACATGCTGTACTACTACTGCTACTAATAAAGAAAGTTTCTGTACTTAAGATTGCACTTTGCAGATGTTTTTGCCTCAGCAATAAAATCAACTGAACCAAGACCTGGCAAATAGATGAGGGGCAGCCCTGCTACAGGAACTCTAGCTTTTTGGTCACACCAAGCTCTGGCTGAAGGGGAAGGCTGTGCAGGCCAGATGGGCAAGAAAAGGGATCAAGGGCCTCATCAGTCCCACAGAAAATATATCGGAACTTTAAATCATACTGTCAAAATAGCTGGACAGGATTAGACACATTGGTTCAAAAGCAACAGAGAGACCTCTTCTCTCAGCTCCCTTGGATCCAGGTTCACTGACTAGAGTAAGAACTATTCAGGGGTATTCCTACAGATCTACACCACAGCAAGGCAAAGTGCCCAGTCCAACTAAACCTTCCTATTTTCTGCACTCATAACATTTATTTTCTGATAATCCATTTCAATGAAGTTTTATTCTCCCTGAGTGCATTTTTTTCCATCCTGACATACAAGCTTTTATTCAGAGAGCAATTTGGAGTTCCTCTTAAATGCTTGTGGCTTTTAATGGCAAGCACAGAATACAAAGTAGTTATCCTAAACCATTTTCCATAAATAACCGGCCTCTATTAATTCACATAAAACTGATTTGTTTCTTAAACACCTATTGCAATATAACCATTTTTTCTATTCAGCTTCAGGGGAAAATTAGCTACCTTATTGACCATTTCTGACAAACAAATAGATGAAATTGGCTGCATAGAAAACACACAAACTTATTTTCTCCTCTGTTTTCTCTATTCAAGCAGACCATCACAGTATTTACATTAAAATAGTTGGGTACTACCATATTTGCTTGTTGACTTACAGTAGCATCCCCCTTGCATTTTCAACAGATTTAATTATTCAGGGGAATTTTTAAAAGACTTTCATCTTGGCCTAATCTTACCTTCACAGAAGTCACCAAATGCTTCTGAACACAAGGAATCCTAGACAATAATCTGGAAGGAACTTGAGAAAGTCATCCAATCAACCTCTGCCATCAGGTAGCACCATGTCTAGCCACCTTGGTCCTTATGGATGCTGTGTATGTGGCATGTAAATAGCACCTACCATAGTGAAGAATCAACAGTCTCCATAGGTGTTTATTCCAGCACCTAATCAATGCAACATTAGAGATTTTCCCTTCCAGGTAATCTAGATTTCCCTTGCTATGTGCATTCCACTCTTCTTATCTCCAGTGGAATGGAGAACAGCTTATTACCTTCCACTTTGCAGAGACATATTACATATTCAATGGCTTATCATTTAGTTTAGTCTTTTCTAAGACAAATTCCTACTCTTTCCTGCTTTAAACAAGCTAGTGATCTTTGAGCACTAATTAACAGACACTATTCAGCACTCTTAAAATGGCTTCTTAAAATGTCCATAAAGCATCCTGTGTTAAAACTCCCTCCTTAAAAGATAGAATGGAAAAGCTAAACCCACTCCAGATTCATAGATTTAAAGCAATTTAGTGCTGTTATGATGATCTGCTTTCAACTTCTGCCACTGGCAAGTCACTGTAACTTTGTAAATTGCATGAAAAGAGCACAGCCACACTGCGCTAGTACCAACAGTCTCCTCTCGTGTGGGCCCTGGCCCAGTGTGGACCAAGGTTTTAGTGATGCCCTCTGTGCTATATCAAATCAAGCCACTGTTATTCTTACCCAAAATACAGGAAGAGTGTGTGAAGGGTCCATCGCTGGAATACAGGCCATATGTGCCTAAATAAGGTGAAACCACTTTCTGGATCAGAGATTCCAGTTTCAAATAATCTTCAGTCACACCTTTTGACTCATGAACACCCTGAAATAGAAAAACAAAACAAAACACAAGATCAGTGCTGTCTCCTCCAACTGCAAGCTTTCCTTGCTCACAAGAGGAAGCAGGCAGGCAGCAAGCCATACATAGCAAAGGTACACTGAGATGTGATACTGGTTTGTTTCTACACCTGATTTGTCTTACTGTAAAGCCAAGAGATATGAGTAGAACCAGAGACTCACCACACAGCACTACACAGATGCACGGAAGGAGCCAGTATCTATTTCCAGGAGTTTAAAATCCAGGCTTTCAGAAAGGTATAGAATCATAGAATATCCTGAGCTGGAAGGGACCCACAAGGATCATGGAGTCCAACGCCTGGCTCCACACAGGACCACACAAAACCCAGACCCTATGTCTGAGAGCATTATCCAAATGTTTCTTGAACTCTGTCAGGCTCAGTGCTGTGACCACTGCTCTGGGGAGCCTATTCCACTGCCCAACCATGTTCTGGGTGCAGAACCCTTTCCTAACACTCAGCCTGACACCTCCCTGTCTCATCTCCAGGCTGTTCCTTCCTGGTATAACCTGCTTAGTGCAAAGGCACTCGAGGAGAACAAAGGATGAGGTTTGCAAAGATCAATTAAAACCATCCCTTGACGTTTTGTTATTTGCAATTCTGCACTGGCTTCCTGAACAAGAAGATGAGCAGCTTCCGCCAAGTACTGCACCAGTGGCTGGTACCACACGGTGTCACTGCCATCTAAGCTATAAAACAAGATTAAGTAAAAGGTGAAACTGACTCAGAATTATTTCTTCCAGGATATTTTAAACAAAAAAAAATTAGAGCAAAGAGGTTTTCATCTCTCTCCTTGCCCCAGCGCAAGGGAGGTAAAAATCAAAAAATCCAGGCAAAAGTCACATTAAAACTAAGAATGGTAAGATCTACCCAAAGGCAAAAACCTTTTGCCCTTAGCTCTTAACTCTGCACTTCCACCCACAAATGGACTTGTATGGCTGTGGAGGTGACAGACAAATCCTGCAGAGCTGTAGGCTCCTTTCCACTTACAACTGCAGCATATATGCTCCTGTGCTGTCTGAGCAGAGCCCTATATACTCATAACCTTTTGCTACCTGAAGTGTATTCACATATGATGTAGGTTTGGCATATCTTGTTGCAAAATTAAAATCCTAAATACTCAGTGGGAATTTTGCTTGAATTTAGTTGAACTCCAGGTTTTGTAATATAGCCCTGAAACACTATAAAACTCCAAGAAAAAACATTTTGGGATGAAAGCCTCTAGAGAGCAACACAAAGATCAAATGAGTAAAATTGCAACACTTCCTTCAGTAAATGAAAAGATCCTGATATTCTGGATGCATTTGCTGCTCAGTGTGATTCACCAAACAGTGTCTACAATGAGAATCGGCCTGCAGTGTGCTTGTGAAAGGCTTGCTTCACCCCTTGGCTGCTGTGCTGCCTGAATCCCAGCTGGCATTCCCTAACAGAAGTTTATGAATAGAAAATAAATCCAACAGAAAACATATAGAATCTAAATTCTGATTCAGCAGGCTTTAAATAATGAGTAACAATTTTTGGAGACATGCTATGTCCTGTAAGACTTTTGGAGATTCACAAATACAAATATGAATACAAGGGCAAATGCAGTGAATCTGAAAGCTTGCAAACACCGAAATATCAGCAGAATGAACCAACAACTATCCTGACAACTAAAACTAGATAAAAATAACACAGGAATAATTAAAAAGGCTTCGTGAAGGTGCACATATTATTTCAAAGTTACTGAGGCCTCCATCAGAGAAAGGGTTTCAAAAAACAGGAGGAAGGCTACTTTTCTTGTACTGAGATTTGCACCAGGATTCCCCCTCCCATCTTGCTGGTATTTAGCCAAGATCCTTCCAGACCTTAGAAGAGCAACATCCCTACTGCCCTGCTGCATATTCATCACCCCATCAAGTTCATAACCCACTGACAAAGATTAGGACATGAGGCCACCCACTCCAGATGGCCACTCCAATTACCACCGGAGCCAGTTTCTCAAATGTGAAATATAATACTGGTGGCAAAGACAAGTGATGGTTAGCATTGCTCATACCATGATTTTGTGGTAAGGCTTTCTTTACTTTTCTGCCACTTAAGTAGTTTCGGTACTTGTGAAAGAGGGTAGCTAAACACCAACTGTGGAGAATGAAACCCAGTAGTCCTCTCATACCACGCTGCCCATGAAATAACCCTGACCGCTTGAAGAACTGTGATACAAGTGATAAAACTTTCCTTGCTCAGTGGCATCTTAACAGTCTGATTTCCTATCTATCTCACATTGCCTGAGAAGGTTTTGTTGTTGTTGTTTCCCCCCCTCCTTGCTCCCTGGCACAGGAAATGCCCCCTTCTCTTAAAATCCCACCTCCCTAACCACTCACAGCAGCTTCTTCAGTCCTGCACTCAACTCCACTCCGTATCTTTATGAGCAGTGCATGTCTCCAGCCCCTTTTTCACTTCATCTTCTTTTAGTTACCACCTGCCGAGTAAAGAGGCCACAAAATATCACTTTTACAATGTAAAATCACCCACTATCAACACAGCCAGGCATTAGTCTTATTCCTCCATTTTGCCATCATCCACAGGATGCTTTCTAAGGCACACTGATAAGTCATAAAACATCTGGTGTCCACCGGAGCTGCAATGACTTCCCTTCAGCTCTGCATCTTGGCACAAACATGCTATATCCACTTGTAACATCCTTCCTGTGTCAGCTGTTGTTACTGGCCTTCCTGAAGGCGCTAGACAGGGCAGTTCCCTTAATCCATTTTTTCTAATGGTTTAGATGCAGTACTGTGGCTGCAGCCCCTGTTTAGAGCAGGAGAGTAACAGGCTGCACACCACATACTGATCATGTAAAAACGGCATTTCTCCTCCATTTCTTTCTGCCGTGTTATTCAATGACAAACTTATTCTGCCAGCCTCTGTTTAACCAAATACAAGTACAAATGCATATTGATTCAGCAAGGACTTTCAAACCCAGCCTCTCCACATGACCCGAATGAAAGCATCACTTATTTACAAGAGTGGCCCAGAGGAGCACCTGTAGGCTCAGAGCAAGCTGGAGTCACCTCCACCTGTCCACAGCCTCTGCTCAGGGACAGGGTGGCAAATGGTGACTTGGTTGGTCACCAGCCTGCCCTTCAGCCAGTTGGTCCCTGCTGTACCATGGATGAGGAGCTTCTCAGGGAAGGGGTGGACACCTCCTCATGCAGATCTGTTTTAGTACATCAGAGGAAGCTTCTGTTTTGCTTTAGCTGCCAGCCCCAAGAGTTCATTTAAATTCTTCTCCCCACCAGAGTGAGAGAATGAACCCAAGAATTCATTCAAACTCTTATCTTCAGCATCCACTGTGCCACATGTGAAATCACTCATTTGTGTCACACCCTCTCATTCAGTGAAAGGAACTTTTGGTGGAAGTTTTAGCATGGAGCAAATGACTACAATTGCTTCATATAAATATATGTCAATATACCTATACAGGTATACATATAGATGTATAGATACCTATACTATAAATACCTCTACATATTTCTACATAGATATCTATATATACATGAAGATTTGTGAATTCTTTTATAGGCCTTTTACCAAATAAGTATGTGATTGTGCTTATATAGGTAAAATTAGCTTTAAATTAAAGCCAACTTGGGATTGTTACCCAAATCACTATAGTTTCTGAGAAATGGATGTCATGGCTTACAAGTCACCAATTAAAAAAAAAAAAGTGTTTTCCTGTTATTTTGGCAACTCATGATTCTTATACTTACTGTATGGTATGTCACTAAGTAGCAATAAAGCAAAAGTGAGATCTAGCAGGCTGGCTGCTTAGCTTGCAGGTAACTATATTGTAATTTGGAAGGAAAAAAACATAGAACATTATCAGTAGAACAGAGGTTCTACTCTTATCTTTAATACAATATTCACTTTGCTGACATGCAAAAATTTATTTTAAAAGATAAGTCTGCCCTTTCATGAGCTCAATTTCATTTTAGCAGGAGAGTTTCATACTTCTCTAAAAATGTTAGATGTATCTATTAAACTTGTTTCAAGGCCTTGCCTGACCTATTTATTTCTCAACTGAAAAATAAAAAAAGGGCCAAAATAGCTCAATATCAAACAGCTGCAGATACCTTAGTACTTATGGAAGAGTGTAGCTGCTGGTTACACTGATCTTGGTTACACTGTTTTGAAATGCAAGAGACATCTCATTATCTTTGGAAGGATTATAGTGCACTGTTATGACAAGAGTCTGCCCTACTCTAAAGGCATGGATAATGGGAATGTGAGTCCTGAATATGTGAATATCATTGCAAACGGAAAAGGTTTGTACTCAGCATCAAGACAATAGACATGAATTTCTGCATGTAACACAGTATCCAAATCCCTGACTTCATTAACTTGTAATTAAATCACTTGGTAACAGAGAATGGTATATTGAAGTTTGAAAGCATTAAAGGGACCCTATGCACTACTGCTTTTGATACATAGATCTGTAAGCTCTCCCAGAAGGGTCATATACATGGAAGACCACAGGTTATTAATGCAGCTCTTTTACGAATTTTCTGCCCTCTCATCTGGAACTTGTCCCCTGTCTGCCAGACCAGTCATCCCTTGTGTTTGGGAATAAACTCCACGAGTCAAAAACAGTAATTCCAGCAAGGATGGAGGCACCGAACTACTCAGGTTTCCATCCCTATTAATGCAGTAAGCTAGCCACAAACTCCTATTGACTTTTTAAGGGACACAAGGGCTTCATTTGATAGCACAAGGGAAAGAGTAGGTGATTAATTCATCTTTTGGTACGGCTAATAAATAGATACAGTCAGAAGAATAGTGGGGGCTTTAATAAGCCCACTTAAAGCCACAACCTTCTTTTTAAATGCACAGGGCTTCTCTAAGCCTCAAGGTCAAGCTGAAGTGGACTTCAGTCCAGACAGGCATTTAAGAACTTGAGAATCCTCCTCGAATGCAACCTTAAAAC